CTAAAAAGAAAGAAAAAAAGAAAAAATAATTAATAGATAAATACAAAATAAAAAAGCTTTTATTTAAATGTTCTAAAAAAAAGAAGTATAACTTCTTACGTTCTACATTTCGGTTCTTACAAGTTAGACGCTTTTTTCCATATTATGATTAAGTTAATTATTTTTCATTTCATATTTTTTAATTTAATTTTATTTAATTTCTTGGTTATATATGATATAAATTATATCAGAAGCTTGTTTAATAAGTATAAATTAACACTATTCCATTCAATTAACACATTTTGTTTTTGTTGGTTTTAACCGAATGACACTTCTATCTGACGCATAAATAATATTACCGTCGCTTTCTACAGCTACTCCGTAAATGTTTTCTATTGAAGCAAGGTTTTCTATTTTTTTACTGTCACTATCTATAGAATATAATTTTTTTACTGTCACTATCTATAAAAATAATTCCTTAATGGGGTGAAAATGGGGATAAAAGTTTATATATATTTAGTTATAATTAAAATTAGACATAAACCAATCAGGATTGCAGTTCAGAAAGACATATACGGGGCACAATATGTCATTATTATATTATATACTCAGCATGCCGTATGAAAACATACATGACTAATATAAATATTTATCCCTACCCGGAAACGTATGACGTAGTACGAATATACAAATGTACATTTCACTACGCCAGGTGGTTGTCAAAAATAGTCATCGCAACACACCGCATTTTGCATTTGCAGAAACAACGCGGCTGTAGGGCGATAGGGTTCAACGCCTCGGTACAACGATGCAGGCCTGTACCAGCGTCCAATGTACACAGGTGTATCTGTACAGTTATATACTAACTAGTTAATACCATTTACTGAGGAGTGCGGTTAGCATAAAAATGTATATTATGTAATTGTAAGTTACAAGTCTCTTGTTACCCAACTGCAGCGAATCCCATATGAGGATTATATATTTGACCTGTGACTGGCCAAAACTATAAAGCTGTAAATTAAAAAAAATATAAAAATAAAAAACCGGCTGCATTTTTTTATATAAAAAAATGCCTTTATAATTATAAAATTTCTCTAATTAATACTGCTTTATAAATACACATTTCATTCTTTAAAAAACCCTAAAAATGCAATAATATACGCTTTTTCAATAAAACCGTGATAGCACATTAGAAACTCTTGTTTGAAAAGCCAAATAAACCAAATAAATTCAAATCCCAGGTCTTACACGTCATTTTCGTGTGCGAATCATTTACAACATGTTTACCACTGGTTAATTAATTTTTTTTTAATTAGTTCAATTAAGTAAAAATTAAGGGCCGACAGACAGGTTGATTTTCTACACTCTACTAAATTGCTAATAGATAACTGATCAAGATATCATTTCCACGTTACATAAATATGTATTTGTTCCAGAGTTTATGTTCTGTAAGCGATCGCTACATTTCTATCGGTTAGTTAGATTCATAGACAATTTTCACTGCTCTCCACTAAGTAAAACTAATATGTGACTGAGTGGAAATAGTACAAGACAATTGCTATTACCTAACTCTGTATATATATCTCAATGTCATTACTTGCAGTTGGATTATAAGTCATTTCGAATGTAATATATTTAATTTGATGTAATAACTTAGCTTCAGATTTCTAAAGGATCTTATATTCGTGAATCAAAGGCAAGTACAGTCGCGTTCATCAGTGCCGTCGGCAAGCAGAGGCGGAGAACGAGTCAAAATGAATAATGACTGCTAATTGTGCTCCGCTGTAATGAAAACAAAATGTCCATAGTATTATTTTTTATTTCACTTCAGGTACCTTACTTTTACTTTTTAGTGTTGCTATCAACGCGCATAAAAAATAATGAAGAACCCATTTTATTGATTAAACCAATATTTTCGGTTATCGGTCGAGATAGAAAAACCGGTTCATTAAATGGGCCATAAATCGTAGACGGTAAGTTTTACAAAAAAAAATTACAGAAAACTAAAGATGCAAAATGTTATTTTCTAGAAAAATAGTCTCAATAACTTTTGCCCTAAAGTGCATAGTTTCCGAGATATCGTCCAAAACGTTTCTTCAAGATGGCGCCTGGCGCCCCACCGGAATTTGACAGCATTTAATAATTTTATACTCAGTAAGTGATCCTAAACCTTATAAAAATATTTGCATCGGAAATTTAGTGCAAAGTTGACAAAAAAAAGTTAATTTTTACTGGCCTATAGGCATAAATGTTATTACTAATATACAGATAAGAAGAATAAGGATACCTTCAATTTTAGAAATATGAAATTTGGCCAAGTATGAAGAGTCCTCTAAAGCTAAATCTATAAGGGCCATTGTAATAGCTTACTTGAGAGGAAAATTAGTTCGCTAATTTGAGATTCCTCTAAGGAGCTATCGATCACATCAAAATAGACATTTAGATCCACCCACCAACAGTACCTGCTTAATTTTTTACAGCAGTATTTGTAGAAATAGGTTCTGAGATTTTCGGCGAGGTAAATATTTATTTATGTTATGAGTCTAAAGACAACAAATATTGAGTTTTAAAGCAATGATAAATATATTGAAATGAAAATCTATGAAAAAATATGAACATTAAAAACAAAATCATGTTTATACTTATTTTATAGTTTATCTAACTTGTGCAAAAATGAGCAAATATTTAATTTTATGCGTAAAGATTGTGTGATGGTACTATGTTCTATTGGCATCACAGCGTAAAGTGCGCCAAATTAAGACTAGACAGACGGAAATTAAAATATGATAATCCTAGGTGCATTTGATAAAAATGTTTTTAATGACTTTCAAGTATAAAAATTTGGTTAGAGACTCATAAAAGTCCTAAGGCAGGTACTATGTAGTAATGTTGTTAGTTATTGAATTAGTTGTTTGAATATTGGATGTCCCTCTTAATACGGGCCATTATGTTTTACAATATTATAATATTTGGATTTTTGGACTAATTTTGTTTGTTAACATTTTTAAAAGGTACATATTATGTATAGTATTAGTATTATGAAATATAATATGTAGTACCTAGTTCAAGAAAATCTTGAGAAAGAAAGGAGATGCCTCCACTGAGAGCTAATATTCTTTGTTATCACGTAGCGATGTTATTATATCAAGCTCTGAGCTGCAAGTTTACGAGCAATAAAACGTCATTCTTCACTAAATGAAATAAGCTTAAGCTGAAACGCGAATCCAGTCTCAAAATTTGAGGAATGAAGGGTAGAATATATGAACAATTTATTTTGTATTATAACCGAAAGGTTATAAAGTATAATATTTACTTAAAAAATAAAATCAGCTAATATCTACATATTAGAATATAAATGTAGTAAAAATATTAGCTGAATATAAAGTATACACGAATTTAAAAAATGCGTCTGTATTTGTTATAACGAACTTTTTAAAACTTTTATCTTATTAATAATATTAAGATTCAAACATTTGAACAATACGTTGTAGAAGCTGCTATAATACAATACACCAGTTATAAATATTGTCTATGAGTGCATGTGTGTATGTATGCGTATCGATATTGTTATATGAGTATTATATGTTTTTTTATCATTCTGTGTCTAATATACCTACATAGATACACAAGTGGGTCAATTATAACGAATTCTCTTAATCAATCAATGTCTTTGTAATTAACAGCAGATATAAAGAACGATGGTATTATTAAATAAAAGTATCTTTTCGGATTATTTTGCGGACTTACGAAACGAACGAAACGTCGGGAACCAAAAATCAAAATAAATCCGCGAAATAATCCGAAAAGATAGTTTTATTTAATAATGTCAAACATTCGCGTAAATCTAAGAAAGTATAACGATGGTACTCTTTGTGTTAATAATAAAAACTAAAAAAACGACTCCAAAAAACGCTGAAAAGCAAAAAATAACTTTTTTTTGTTTTATTTTTCCATTTTTAGTGTACAATAGTAGAAGCAAAATAAGAAAGTATTATAAAAATTCAGTACGTGAAAATTAAATTATCCCCTATTTTTTCCACTTATGTTCTAACGTTCGAGGAAATTCAGTAATTGAAATGTATTAACTTTAAAATTTATCAAACAAAGACAGTTTTAAAGAATAAAGTCAATTACTCGCGTTCGCTTACAAAACGGGTTCCATTATCACAATTTATTTTCAGCTCACGTACTTTTTACTATTTTCTATTACATTTCTGGAAACTCAATTACATGGAAACCTATTGCCGCCTTATTTATAATTAAGAATTCTTCTTTGCTTAAAAATATCAAATATTATCTTGTTTTTTGTAGTTATACTTGTTTTAGCGCGTTAGGGAAAAAAAGATGAGAATGTTTTTTTTACTATGCGACAGACTTACACTACAGTATGAAGTAAGGTCTATATTCAAGATATCTATTCCGGTATTTATATATACACTACACGTATTTTATATCGATAAAAAGGAAATTATAACAAGCTTTTATGTATTTTCATCTGTCCCGGAGTCTGTATGAAATCAATTCTTTAAAGTTAAATTTGACTCGATTCTCAGTGTCCTATTGAGCTAAAATTTAGCACACATTTCTATAGTGACCCTTATTATATTGGGCATCAAATAAAAGAATCGAAACACAATAATCAAAGTGACGTCATTGTAAATCCAATATGACAGATTATATTTTTATGCACCCTCATGATACGAATATCAGTTGAAAGGGTTTTGCTGAGAAAAATATGAATAAAATAAAAACTAAAAAGAAAGAAAAAAAGAAAAAATAATTAATAGATAAATACAAAATAAAAAAGCTTTTATTTAAATGTTCTAAAAAAAAGAAGTATAACTTCTTACGTTCTACATTTCGGTTCTTACAAGTTAGACGCTTTTTTCCATATTATGATTAAGTTAATTATTTTTCATTTCATATTTTTTAATTTAATTTTATTTAATTTCTTGGTTATATATGATATAAATTATATCAGAAGCTTGTTTAATAAGTATAAATTAACACTATTCCATTCAATTAACACATTTTGTTTTTGTTGGTTTTAACCGAATGACACTTCTATCTGACGCATAAATAATATTACCGTCGCTTTCTACAGCTACTCCGTAAATGTTTTCTATTGAAGCAAGGTTTTCTATTTTTTTACTGTCACTATCTATAGAATATATACCACTAGGTGTCGAGAAAAATAAGTTGCCATTTATGTCTGACGTAATAGCATTCAAATTATAATCACCTAAGTAAAAAGTATAATCTTTAACTTTTTTGTAAATAAAAAGCCCTGTAGAATTTGAGAAATATATGTTATCATCGTTGTCAAGAGCAACCAACATTCCTCTTGTATCGACCAATTGAGAAACTCGCTGCGAATGGTTGTCTTTGTACACGTAAACATGTTCTTCTGGATAGGTTGAGTAATAGAGTTCATTTTTAAAGAACATTTGCCAAATGTTATGGGACGTTCCATCAATATGTGTAGCAATTTTGGTATTATAATCAAACTTGTAAATCCCATCGTTGCCTCCCAAATAAACTACATTAGCTTTATTGTCAACTGCATTAGCAAATCCGCCATTTATACCTTCGATAATTTGAAACTCATTTGTCTTGAGATTAATATACGCTGATTCGAATAATGTTTTTATTTCGCCGGTGGAATAGCTAAAAAATAAATTATTAGTATCATAGTCGATTGCCAATTGATATGGACTTGTAACATCGTCTTTTAATATTTCTTGCTGATGGTTTATATTATGGACGACCACTCCATTACAATTTTCATTGACAACTCGTGCCTCAATATAAGCGAAGAAAGAAAGCAATACTATTATCTTCATCTGAAAAAAAGAAAGAGCAACTGAAACAATAATTTAATTATTTAAGTTATGAAATAAAATTTAGTATTAAATAATACATCATTTCGTACACGAATTCTTAGAAAATTGAAATAAAAATGTTGTTAGAGGAAACTCCCGAAATGAAAATATAATATTTGAATTTAAGTCTGCTGTAATGTTATGAATGTTCAAATCTGTAAGCAGAAAATTAACTGCACTAACATACGCTATTGTCGCAATATCACTCTTGTTTATAGTAAGCATCAGTTAAAATTATATTTAAACCAATGTATGTAACTCTCTAAATATTAATTATTTTCATTTATCTTGTCATTGAATATTTTATCGATACATTATGCAATTAGTCTAGTTGTTAGTTAACATTGTATATTATCATTTTAAAATTAATTTTCTATATGCCTAAATATATAAATATACATATTTAAATATAAAATTGCGTTAATAATTATTTTACTCACTATTTATTCCCGTAAAAAACAGCTCAATGCAACAGCTTGTAACGTAGCTGGCTTGTTGTCGTTTGTACATATGTATATCTTGTTTGCCTTTAGAAAGGTTATAAATGTTATCATACTCACATATTTATAACAATTAATTATTATTTACTGTGTTTATTATAAAAAAACATAATAACGTTGTGTTTGTTTATTTGTTTTTTGCGTTAAATAAAAATTATTAAGTACATTATATTTACTGATGTTACAAAAATAATAATACATTTTCTTATACGTCATACTTATTATATATTTTAAATAACAAATAGTTTATTATTTAATTTATATTTTGTGATACTTAAAATAAAAATCTTACTAATCTATTAAGGTTTAAGAAAAACGTTTATAATGTTAAGTTTAAAAAAAGTAAGTAAAAATACGATATAATTGATTCAATTAAAGTAAGGTTATTTAAAAAAAAATATAATAAAAAATATAATAATAAGTAAGTAGAGCAATAACTAAACTATAAGACATTACACTATTTTGACACAGCAATTAAAAAATGGAATAATTTTTCTATATAGTTACATAAATATAATGAAAATGTTAAAGTAAAGGGCAGTAGGTACTAATTATTAATATTGCAGTTAGTTTCGAGTTTGATACAAAGAAGGTACGATAACCAGTCTATGATAGAGATAAATAATGAAGTGACCAAGAACGGACGGTATAGAATTGACTTTGTCCGATAATAATATAGTAATTTATAGGGTCATATTTCTCGCAGCGCGCCCAAATGGGACCTTTGTGATCATAAAGAGGTGGCCCTTCCACAGCTTAAAAGAATCAGCAAAACTAAAGTGCCAAATTATTTTATATAAGATTTTATTTTTAAATGCAAAAATAGGTTTTAATTTAGGAGTATGAAATAACTGATTTTAATAAAACAAATTGTTCAGCAGGATTTTTAGAGCCTTGATTAAAGTTTTAGACTTTGCCTTGAGAAAGCAAAAAGATTCATTTTAAGAGGGCTTAGACGAGATGTTAATCTACAATCGTTGAACAGTAGAAATTATAAAATTGTATTTAAATGACAAAGTAACTTTATATCTTTAAATCATTTTAATGTCAATTCCATATATTTTTTTTAATTTTTATCCTTCAAACAGTGTAGAAGTATATCTCGTCTAAGCTCAATCAACTCCCTCTAATATCAACTCATAATAATTCAATTACAGTGTGTAATTATGGCTTTTGATTAACTATATATTATTATTTTTTTTATAACACTTTATTGCACAAGAAAATAGTACATTAAATTCAACTATTATTATTATTAATTCAATACGAGATATACAGATATAATATGCTACAGCACGGTTATGTGCCTAACATTACCGTGCCTATGTAATCAGCCCTTTTTAACGTCCCACTTCTGGGCACGGGCCTCCCTTCAATACGAGAGGGATCAGGCCATAGTCCACCACGCTGGCCAAGTGCGGGTTGGCGGACTTCACATATCTTTCGAAAACTTGCTAAGTTCTCTCAGACATGCAGGTTTCCTCACGATGTTATCCTTCACCGTGAGGCAAGTGGTAATCATGCTAGAAATGATTGGCACATGAAAATATCAGAGGTGCGAGACCCGGGATTCGAACACGCATCACTCGGTTTCCTAAGCGAGCGCGTTACCACTGGGCTACCACTGCCTTACTGTGCCTATAGTATTACATAATATTGAAATTGATTAATTGATAATAACTCCAGAGAGTGTGATCAAAATAATATAATGAATTATCAGTATGTTACAAAATAAACCAAAAGTTGAATATATAATAAAGAAACGATTATAACCGCTGCTCTATAATTTCCTGGATATTAAACTACAGATATGACGGTAATTACCTTTGAATATATAAAGAAAGACATAGATCGTTCATATATTAGTAGTAAAAAATAAAAATAATTGATTTTTAAATAATTTATTAATTCTTAATTCAAGATTATTGTTTTACAATCATTATGTGAAATATATAGAAATTTTAACAATTCATTTCTGAGGTAATCTAAAAATATATTGTTTGAATTAATTTTATGTAACATATTAAAGTCTTCTAGGCTTTAATCTGACAATGCCATTTTCAGATCCATAAATAATGTTCCCATCACTCTCCACAGCGATCCCATAAATGTCATCCATTGTAAAGAGCTTTTTAATATTTTTATTTTTACTATCAATAGAGAATACTTCATTTGGAGTCGAAAAAAATAGATTACCATTGATGTCAGAGGTAATTCCGTTTAAATTATAATCTCCCAAAAACTGAATAACGCCTGTATTTTTTTCGTAAACGTAAAGACCTGATGAATTCGAAAAATATATATTATCAGCTTTGTCAATAGCGACCAACATCCCTTTTGTTCCAAGTAGCTGAGGAACGCGATGTGACTGTCCATCTTTATACACATATACATATTCTTCTGGATAAGTTGTGTAATAAAGATTTTTCTTAAAGAACATTTGCCAAATTGATCGAGTAGTAACATTAATATGCTTAGCAGTTTTTGTTTTATAATCGAACCGGTAAATACCATCGGCACCACCTAAGTAAACAGTCTTAGTTTGTCGATCAACATAATACTTTCTTAGATTTACGCGAATATTTGACATTTTAAATAAAACTATCTAGTCGGATTTTGTCGCGGATTTATTTGCATTTTTGTTTCCCAAACAAACATGCAAATAAATCCGCGACAAAATCCGAAAAGATAGTTTTATTTAAAATTGTCGATCAACAGTTTGAGCAAATCCACCTTTTATTCCTTTAGTTATTTCAAACTCTTTTGTTTTAAGGTTAATGCATCCTGAATGAAATTTCGTATAATTTTCACTATAGGAAAAACTAAAAAATAGTATGTTTGTGTCATAGTCGATTGCTAGCTGATATGGACTTACCACGTTGTCCTTTAATATTTCTTTGCAATTATTATCATTATAAAGGTTTACTTTATTAAATTCATTGCCAGCCATTGTTTTAATGCTAGTAACAAATAAACTCATTATCACGTATATTATCATCTGTAAGAAAATAAACTTTTAGAGTAATTTAAAGTCTTAATGTCGCGCGTCTGCAAAACTTGTTTTTAGGAAAGATACAGTGAAAAGGAACGTACGTAAGTAATTTTCGATGTTTTATATGACAAATGGACTTTACCCGCCACTACTAGTAGTTAATTTTAGTAGCTTTTGCCAAAACCAGTCAATTTATCATAAAATATATTACACTACATGTCATTAATATTACAAAATAAAATAACATATTTACCTTTTCCAAAATATTTCTGTAGAACATATGAAATAAAATTACTTAATATATATCTAAAGAATTTTCAACCAATAAAATACATTTAATTTCGAATCGTAAGTAAGAAATAAATGACTGCACATGTTTTAAGCTTGTTAATAAATATATACCTATAGGAAAACCACGATATTATACATATGTGACTCAACGCTTAAATGAAACAAAATATATTTTGCTTTTGTCAGCGACTTCGCGCGCATATATTTCCACTCATTAGTTCGACTTATGTCTTCACCATCACAAATGTCGTTTCGACATAAAAACTTCAATACTAAGTTAAACCAGCTCTACTTCTTAAATATTCTCTACATTTTTATGTAAATATATAATTATATTTTTTTATTCAACTTAAATATGATGATGATGATGATGTTCTCCTAGCCGATTCCGGCCACGGCGGCCAATCTCAATGAGATTAGCCAACTGCGCAGGAGATATTATAGTGCTCAAGTGTACGCGCAGACACAAGTGCACTCTCTATTCCTATCACTCTCATACTCCGGTGGGACGACCACTCGACACGACCGGTGAGAGTTAAGGCGCAGGACCGACGGCTTTACGTGCTCTCCGAGGCACGGGGGTGAAACACCGCCAACTTCCCAACTCCGGGTTGTTACTGAGGCTTACTATATATATATAAACTCATTAACTAAACTTGGCCCGACCCGGGACTCGAACCCAGGACCTCCGGGTGTGCAGCCGTACATGCTAGCCACTACACCACCGAGGCAGTTGATATAATGATATACCTGTCATAGTATTTTACACGTAATTTTCATTTATCTAAGCATAAAATTGAAAAAAATGTCATATTATTGCCTAAGTATATGAAAAATTCAAGGAATGCTATAGACAATATCTTGTTTTTGCAATTATAACTACTAAGTATTATTCAGATAGCAGAAACGGGTATTAACCGCCAGTTGACGGTCATTACACGTAACGTCATTCATTTGTATTAAATTTTAAAAGTTAAATATTTTTTGACGGCGCGTTTGGCTCAGTTTGTAGTGACCCTACCTGCTGTGCCAGTGGTCGCGGGTTCAAATCCCGCTGGGGGCATTCATTTGTGTGATGAGTACGAATGTTTGTACTCCAGTCATGGGTGTTTATATTTATAATATGTATGTATTTAAAGTTATATATGTATGTATCGACTATCTAGTATCCATAACAC